GAACAAAACAATTGCAGTCATTAATTTCCTTAACCCAGTCCTTTATCCCAGTCTAGTGCTTTGGTTGCATTTATACAATAGGCATGAAGAGAAGGCATCTTCAAAATCAGTCCTTGTTTTTTGTCCAAATGGAGAATCTAAGTTTCTAATAATTCATGATATTATTTTTCTCAACAGGGTTATAAGATAATATCGTCATTACTACTGATTGATCTTACAATATACCAGTATTACTCTAAGATCAAATATTAGTTTTTGCTCTCTTAGAAGAGTCATGAATACGTCTGAGTATTCTATTAGAAGTATCATTGCTGATACCCAGTTAATGCCATTCTGGAACTCTCTAAAACCTCTAGAATCCAGTAAACTTCTTCTTCTGAAGGTTCTAAGTGTGCTCTTGGGTTTCAGCCAGGCAGGTTTTATTTTATTTTTTTTTGTGAGAGACAGAACACTTCCATTATTCTTTTTCCTAAAGGATACACAGAACAGAAACATCTGATGGAGTTTTGGATCTGTGGAGCTTGGGATACTGAAGGGTGTTGTTTATGGATTGGTTTCTTAAGATAAGATTTCTCCAGAACTGCTGAAAACAAGCTGTTTGGCTGCAAATGGAATAGTGTGGCTGCTTCAGAATGACTTGGTGTCAGACAGTTGCTGACTCTGCCTTTCTCTGTCCTACAGCAGGCATTGGCAGCTCTCTTTGGCTTTTCCAACCCAATTCCATTTGTAGCCAAGGTCTAGGTTTGGTGTGCAGATGAATGTCAGGAGGAGGCCCTGTGGCACAGAGCTCTAACTTCCAACATTGGTCATGTTATTTATTATCATGCTATTGATCATACTATTCATGTGATTTACATTGTAGAGTATGTGGCAGGGTGAGAAACCGCCAATCCCAGGGATATGAGTGTAGGGAACTTAGGATGCTCTATGTTTGTTTCCCAGTAAACAGAGAGGGAATTATCTCACTGCCTAGATATATTGAGAGAAATTATTTTTGCTGGTAAACTGTGTTGAAATTTGTGACTGAAAAGAAGATGTTGAGGGGCAGGTAGGTGGTGTAGTGGATAGAGCACAAGCCCTGAAGTCAGGAGGACCTGAGTTCAAATCCGGCCTCAGACCAAACACTTGACACCTACTAGCTGTGTGACCCTGGGCAAGTCACTTAACCCCAATTGCCTAAAAATAAAAAAAAAAAAGAAAGGAAGATGTTGGAGTGGGGTAGTGAAGTACAGGTCTTCAGTAGCTTTGTCCCCAGCTCCTTTATTCTAACACAACTCCTTATAAATGTTGTAGTCTTAATAATACAAAGCACTTTCATTAAAACAACCCTCTGAAGTAGGTAGGCAGGGCAAGTATCTAAAAATTGACTTGAATTGACTGAAGTAGGTAGGCAGGGCAAATATTATCTCCATTACACATAAGAAAATTGAGAGAAATAAGTTGACTTTGCCAACAGTTACACAGCCAGTGGACAGTGGAGCTGAGACTTACAAACCAGGTTTTCTCTCTCCACATGCTCTTTTCACTGCTTCCATGATGCTGCCTCTGCAGCACTTCTTGGTGCAGGCCAGGAGAGAGATTCCTAGCTACTTCTCCTAGGTCTTTAGTCCAGTTAGAATGGTACAGTTCAGGACTATTGATGCCAAACTAAGGAATTACGTACACTGATGAATTTGGTGAGTAAAGAAAACCCAAGAACAAAAATAAATTTTGTGGCCTGCACATATATTTAAAACTTGGGTAATTGAAATCTTATATGTGCCTGATTTAATTTGTCGATTAAATTTACAGCAGTTCTTTTCATTTTCAGGAAGGATACTTTGTTCCTATTTGATTCGACAGCAACTGAGATTTCTATTTTTGCCTTGACAGTAGATCAACTGTACATTGCATACATGCCAGACCATACTTTGCATATAATAGGCATTTAATAAATGTTTGTTGAATTGTGTTGATGAATTAATAACTTGAGTGGTAAAAGGTGGCCCAAATTATAGGAGAGAAGAGCTCTGCAGGGCAAAGGTTGATACTCCCAAATCTTCATTTCCAGCCAAGCTTCCATCCTACATTTCCAGCTTTGCTAACTATTTCTACCTTGATGCTCCACTAACACCTCCAACTCAGCATAGCCCAAATAAACTTATTATTTCCCCCTCAAATCTGTTCTTCCTCTTGACTTCTTTGTTCCATTAATAGCAGCTTTCCATTATCATTGGCTCTTTCCTATACTTTGTCCGCTATATCCAAATAGCGGACATTTTTTTTTATGTGGCCTCTTCAATATTTCATATCAGTTCCCTCCTTTTCATTACTACCCCCACTACCTTAGCTCAGGCTTTTATCACCTCTCACCTAAATTACCATAGGTCCTTTTAGCTGGTCTCTGTTGCCTTCAATCCTGTTATCCTTCCAGAGGCCATCTCCAGTGGGCCTGATCCATATCTGGCCACTGGACCCAGCTGGCTTTGGAGGAGAAAGTGAGGTTGGTGACTTTGCATGCCCTCCCTCCCTTAAATCCATTTCACTTGCATGTCATGCCATCACCTTCCTGATGTCACGGTCCTCTTTGAGAATGAAGGACAAACAAAAGCTACTCTTCCACCTGTGCTCTGTGTTTCAAGAGTGATCTTTCTTTTCTTTTCTTTTTAGGCAATTGGGGTTAAGTGACTTGCCCAGGGTCACACAGCTAGTAAGTATCAAGTGTTTGGTCTGAGGCTGGATTTGAACTCAGGTCCTCCAGACTTCAGGGCTGGTGCTCTATCCACTGTGCCACCTAGCTGCCCCCAAGAGTTATCTTTCTAAAGCACAGCTGTGATCATGTCTGTGCACTGAAAGTTTTAGATGTGGAGATCTTCACTGGTTGTGGATTGGAGTCTAAACTCGAAGAATATTTGAGGCCTTCTGCGCTCTGTGGCCTAGTATTCCCCTTTGTGTTCTCTACACAACAACTAAACTGTGTTCCTCCCCTGCTCTCAACACATCTCCGTGCCCTTGCTCAGAGCAGGCCCTTTCTGGAACGTCTTGTCCCTCTAGCTTTGCCTGTAGAAATCCTTTCCATCTGAGCTCAGATGTCACCCCTTCCCCCTCACTCAGTTTTCCCTGTTTCCCTCCCCCGTCCACACACACTCATGCATGCAATATCTCCCTCCTCCCAACTCCCACGGCACTCTGTATTCCTTTTATGACACCACATTTTACATTACGGTGATGTGCACACATGTCTCATCTTCCTTATTAGACTATACACTATTTGAGAGAAAGGACTATGTGCTTTTCATAGGATCATAGATTGGAGCTGGAAAAAAAAACAGAAATTATTTACTTCAACTCCCCCTATTTTATGGGTGAGGAAACTGAGGCACAGAGAGGTGCCCAAGTTTTCCCAGGTAGTACATAGGAGAGAACTGGGCTTTGAATACAGGAACTCTGACTTCAGACCTAGCCCTATGTCTACTCTACCACACTACCTTAACTTTTGTACCCCATTATAGTGTCTAAAGTAAGGCCTTGTACATGATAGAACTTCAATACCCACTGGAAAAGATAAATAATTGAATGAATGAATGAATGAAATGAATGAATGAGCCAGGCCTCATAGTTAAAAAACAAAACCAAACCAAAAAGCTAGGCTGGATATTTGGTGATGTTGGTTAATAAATGTTTATTGACAAGTTAATCATGAGCCATGGGTTCTTTCCTTTTGGTTCCATTTCTAACTTCAAAATAAGAGAGTACTTTCATCTTGAATTCTCAGTTTCTCTATCTGGAAGTAATAAATCTAAGTTGTCTCTACTTCACAGCAATGTGAGGAATGAACATGAGTGAGCCTGTGTTTAAAGATACTTAAAAGAGCAAGATTTGAATAAAGCAGAAGGACTAGAAGAACAGAACTTCTCATTTTTTCCATCAATCACGTCTAAGAAAGAATGAAATGTTATAGGAGTCTAGAACTCGAAGCTAGAGATTCTCCTGTAGTAGCTAGTATTCTTAGTTCTGCAGATTGTGTTTCCACATTGTGTTGAGTTCTATAGGTACTAAAACACCTCTTCTGGGGCTAAACCCTTGTTGGGCTAGGATTCAAATACAGCTTAGGACTTGTGCAACATTCAGGGTGTGCCAAGAAATGCTTGTGATTTCTGCCAGCCATAATCCAGATGTCTAACGTAAGTGTGTGTATGTATACACATACATACAAACTCATTTTTTCGGGTACCTGTCTATCCTAGTCCCAATTATACTTTCATCAACCTCTTTCCTGAAATAAATGATAAACATGTAGAGAGAGCATCTTTTCAGTATCAAACTGCAAAAATATAATTTACATATGTATATTTAAAATGAATTGGATATTTTGAACTCAGAATAAAAACTATTCTTGCTAATTCTAGGTCTACAGATTGGAATACCAGCGTAAGGTGTGTTCTAAGAAAGGCTCATCCCCTGGAATTTGCTTCAGTCTTTGGTTTAAAGTAGGCCAGGTTTCTTAGCCTTTAGGGGATGGCACAGGTCCCATCTGTTTAGTCCAGTATCTGCCTGGTGGTATAGGAGGACAGGTGAGTGTAAGATTTCAAGTTTGAATCCTAGATAACAGACATTTAAATGTGAATTTCTTATAATAAATATGCCTAGAGAGGCTAATGATAGCGAAATAAAAAGTAGACTGAAAAAAAGTAAATGCTTTTGAATCACCATCCTCTGTTTTCATTCCAATCAACATAAAAGTTTGTTAAATCTTTGGTCATTACATATTAGTTGTGTATGGGTAGCACTGGTTTATTTTTTAACTGTCAAAGTAATTTCTGGTATATTGGTGGATCTGTATTTTTGTTGGCTGGAGCTCTTAATACAGGATTGTATAGTGGATTACTAGAGTTCCTGTAATGAGATCCTGAGCAGGAGTTTAATCCTTTTTGGTTTGTAGTTATGCCTAACCTGTCTGGGCTGGGCCAGAGATTTCTGGGGAGACAAAGCCGGTATAAACCCACTCCTTCCTCTTTCAGATGTGGATGAGTGCCTGTTCAGCAACGGAGGCTGCCAGCACACGTGTGTCAACACCGTGGGGAGCTACGAGTGTCAGTGTAAGGAGGGGCTTTTCCTGAGTGACAACCAGCATACGTGCATTCACCGTGCAGAAGGTACAGAAGGAACTTTTTTTGTGTGTTACCAAGGCTTTGTCACAATCAGTTAACAAGTATTTATTAGATACCTACTATGCAGACAACTGGAAACCTAACAGATAAAAAGAATGTGAAAGTCACAGTGTGGCGGAGTGAGAGAGCGAGTCAGTGGTCCATTTCTACTCTTTGATCTCATCTGTAATACAGGAATTATGTTTCACCAACTACCTCATGATAAAAGTGCTTTGTAAGCTGTAAAGTGCTGTAGAAATGTCACTCATTTGTCCTGGCTTTGTCATCTAGCTTCTGAGCCTGAAGTTCTTCCTTTGCAAATGAGGGAGTTGGACTGGCCCGTGATTCACATTTTCGAAAATTGTAAGTTCCGACATCAGGTGATATATTAGGAGTAATGTCCTACTTGAGACACTAAACCTGGGTTGGGGAGCCTGCGGCCTCGAGGCCACATGTGGCCCCTTAGGTCTTCAAGTGCAGTGCTTGGACTGAATCCAAAATTCACAGAACTGTCAAAGGGCCCCACTTGAAGAGCTAGAGGGCCACATGTGGCCTCAGTTCCCCACCCTGGCACTGAGCCTTTCAAACATGGTTACCGGTGAATGAATCAGGATCAGGCCACTCTTCTGCTTCAAGGCAGGGCTTCATCAAACACACAGATGTGTTTCAAAATACTAGTATAAAGGGAAAATTTTTATTCATTCAAGGGTTACATCACAAAGGTTGTTTTCTCCACTTGCTTCATCATTATTAAATTAAGAAAACATGTATAACCTGCTTTGTAAATATAAAGCACTATATAAATGTAAGCTGCTGTTAAGCTGTTTATTTTTAAGGAAAACTACCAAATATCTTGTGCGTTAGATATTGTTGATACCCTTTGACTGTGTGCTACCTATTAATTTCCAGTGAGTAGCATTTTTTTTTTCTCCATTAAGTAGCTGATTTTCTTCTGGGAAGATACATTCTTAACTGTCTAAGAAAGTTGTGAGTATTTCACGTGTCCAGAGTGGTACATTCAGAATGTAGGTACCACTAAAGTACCGATTTGAACAATTTCTTCTGCAGTCACCAAACACACAGAGAAAATGCTCAGGTGGAAATCAGGCAGTTCATTTTCATGCTTTGTAAGCACTCTTAGTGGGTACATTGTATCGCTATGTTTAATACAGGAGAAGTCACAAAACACTGGAGCTAATCAGGATAATTTCTGAATGTGGGCGATGCACTGGTTCTTGATTGACAGCGGAATAGTAGATGTTGGCTTTCAAGTTGGGTGCTTTGGACTCTTTTGTATGTTCCACAGGATTTGGGGCATCTTTGTCTCATGAGACTTATGTAGAGTTCTCACTGTGGGAAAGGAATCAAGAAACCAGTAGAGCAGAATAATCTGAAAAGCAGAGCATCCATTCTTTTGTTGTTTAAAGCTCTCTTACCAGAAGGAAGAATACTGTAGTCTGACACTTGGATGTCTAGGCTATAACATGGAAAGTCATTGATTAATTATTCCCAGCCAAGCACCTGGCAGCATATAGTGTAATTTCACCCTTAGGTAACTATGTGTTTTTCATTCAGCCATTTTAGATAAACTGATTGCAACCATCACTTCCAATAAAGTGACTGAAGACTTTCAAACTGATAACGCTCCCTTATCCTCAAACTGAAATGGCCAGTGAAAACTGACCACAGCCACAGCCTCCTCAAAACAAGAGGGAGAGTAAATGTGAATCTTTTCTCCAAGTTTCCAAAATTATATAGTTCAGACATTCTTGAATCCTCTGAAGCACATTTAAAACAAAAATCTTTTTTCTTTCTTTCTGAGATAGCAATATAAATTCAAGAATTTGAGTTGTGGCCTGGAAACTCTCATCGTGATTTGTTATTGTTTTCAAGCTGATTGCTTGGAAAATTCATATCAACATAAGTCAACAAATTATATTTTCTAAATTCTTAAAAAGAACAATAGGTAAAAGTGCCAGCTTAAGGGGAGGATTTTTTAAAAAATTGGTTTACATGTTAAATGCTTAAAATTGTTATTTAAGTTCTAAAACCCATAACTGACAGTTAAAATAATATCTAAAGGAAAGCAATAATTAGTATCTTTTAATGAATTTAAATATATTTTATTTGCAAATATTTTATAAAAAGTAACTGTCAAACATAATGATCACATTTTGGACACAGATTTTGACTTTTATTTAATATTCCTCACTTTGGAGGCAACATTTAGTTGCTTAGGAAGGTTCCAGGCCATTGGTATTTACTTTTGTTTTTTTGAGACTTTGAAATGTCAATTCCCTGGAAAATTGGCTCTCTATTTTCACTTGTTGGAGAGGCTAAAGAGATTACATCTGAAAAGGATGTATAACCTGTACCCTGTCTTCATCCCTATTCCTGGGTGCTTTGGCAGTCAAGATAAACATAATCTCCCAAGCTGAGATATGGCATAATGGAGAGAGTACTGGCCTGGGAGTCAGGAAATCTGTTTTGTGGTCTCATCTCTATAATAGTAAGAATAATAATGGATGACATTTATATAACATTTTAGGTCTTTTAAAACCTTTTATGTTACCTTATTTGGGCCTTATATCAACCCTGTGAGGTGGGTCCTATAGACATTATTATCTCTTTTTTACAAGTGAGGAAACTGAGGCTCAGAGAGTGACTTTTATGGTCATAAAGCAAATTGGCAGAGTGACTATAGGGGCAAGTGATTTCTCTTTGGACCTTGGGTTTCTTCTATGTAAAATGAAAGTGTTGGACTAAATATGCTGCAAGATTTCTTTCAGCTTTAATGGTCAGAAACCATAATTCTAAGGTTAATTAGGCCATTGCACCCAATTGTTTTGGCCACTCTGAAAATATTTTCTATCATAATAATAATAACCAACATAAAGCATTTGAAGGTTGATAAAACACTATACATACATCCTCTTACCCAAAACTAAAAGAGCCCTGTAAAGTAGAGGCCACTACATTCACTGTTTTGCACATGAGGATAATTGAAGTCCTTAGAGATTCGGTCACTAGCCAATTGTCACATACCTGGAACCATCATCAGAGTTGGATATTCACACCCAGGTCTCCCTTGACTCCCAAGTCCAGCTCCCTTTTCTCCTATAACAAGCTGCAACTCCTTAACATGTTATAGCTATCTCTTCTTAGTGGTTGGACTGCCTTTTTGTGGAATAAGGAGAGATCACTGATGCTTCTGAGTTGCTACAGAGAATAATCCAGGCAGGAAGGGCACCAGCCTTCACAGCTGAACCCTAGATTAGTTGTTACTTGAGGTCCTTCTTTGCTTTCTCTCCAGCACCTCAGAGCTACTAAGGTATGGCCCCTTTGGTCTCCCTGCCACCATCATCTTTAGAGATGAAGAAAGAAGACCTTCAGGTGGGGCTGAGTCTGGGGCTGAGTTCTAATGTCCTTTCTGCCTGGAGTCCTCTCTCTACAAGCCCTTCTTTCATTTTATATGCGTACACTTGCCCATTTCATGTCACATTTTGATCTGGTTTCTATATATGATTTGTGAATTCCATATTGGGACCTCTGTAAATAAGAAGAAATTTACTTTTACTAGTGAAATAATACCAAAGCTTCAGAGATGTTATAACTACACCCCCCCCCCCAATTTCCATTGTTGATTGACAATCTAAATATTATCCACAGTTCAATCTCAAGTGACAGGCAAGTTAACTATACACTTCCTGTGTTGCTGAGAATTGTCATTATTATTCAATTCAGCAAGCATTTTTAACTACTCCCACCACAAATGCTATTGCTGGCATGTTCAGTTTACCCATTTATGTCCTTGGTTTCTATAAATACAAATAAATATATTGTGTTGGTTAGCTTGTCTTATGAGCATGGTGATCAGAATGAATAGGTGCTAAAGCAGCAGTCACCACCAGCGTGAATGGGCCATTTTTGCACAGGCAAGTGATCAAAACGGTTTGCCAAGTGGCTGAAAATGCCACTCCAAGAAACTCCATTAGCCAGAGCAATAAGAGAGCTTTACCCTAATCCCAGGCAAATTGCCTTCCTTCTTAATTGGCAGCAGCTGTTGGCAGAGGTGAGCTGAATTGAGACCAGCACCCAGCAGAGTGAGGGAGGGCAAGGGTGTGATGCTGGCTTATAGCTGGCAGGTACAATCAACATAGTTTTAGGAGAGGCATAAAGAGCTGTGGGAAGGATTACCTTTACATTGTACATCTTACTAACTTCTGTCATCCTGTTACACATGGAAGTGGTTTATGAGATTTGGGTAGCAGAAGTCTAGATTTCATTATGGACTATTAAGCAAAGGGAAAGGGAAATAGTACATAATAAATAGTTTTGAATTTTTTTAGTGAAGATTTTTGATCCCTGCAGTAATGGGTCCCTTTTACAATCGTGTATAAAACTGTGAAACTTGTAATGTCAGGAGCCTCTTGTTAGTTCACTCATGGTTAGTGACATGTACAGTGGTAAGATCAAAAATAGGGCAGGCACTGTTGCTTTTTTATCTTTTTAGTTCCAGGGCCTGGTACAGAGGCTGTATAGATAGATTTTTAATCAATACATTTCAGTGTTGGTAGAGAAAATCACCAGATATTGGGATCAGGAGATGGGGAGGGAAAAAGAGGTGTGGGATTCTAATGCCAAGTTTTAGAGTGTATGTGGCATAAATAGATTAATGGATCACATTTTGTTCTTGTGCAATCACTTCATGGGATTCCTATTGGCATTTTAAGTGGGTTGATTTGTGGTTAATTAGGTGGCAGAAGTGGCATTAGAAATGTCCCTGATGAGTGATTAGAGTATGATAGATTCATTTGAATATATTGTCTTCTATTGATGTCACACAATTTTCTCAGTCATCCAGGCTCATATTTTAAAAATTATTTTCCCCTCTCCTTTGCTAACTACATCATCAGCTGCCCTAATTTTATTGACTGAATTTCCATAATGTCTCTCACATCATTTTCCTCCTCTTCGCTCACTCTGCTATGCCCCCAGTTCAGGCC